AATAATAATAATAATAATAATAATAATAATAATAATAATAATAATAAAAAGAACGTTTCGTTTGGGTCTGATGAGGCTTGGAAGGCGTGGGTCAACGTGAGTTCAAAATATAAACAAAAAAATGATGATGCGAAAACCCTGGGTTAGACAGAACAAAAAAAAAAGCCCTATATTTTATTCATCATATGTTTTGTCTAGTCCACAAGACTTCATCAGCGTGTAAATTTACTTAACGTTATTATTCGATTAAAGCAGTGTTAAACCAAGAGTATAGAATTCATTCTATTATTCTTCGGGCGACATTATTATTTTTTTTTTTTGTACCTCCATGCTTGAATACATTTTAACTCACCCTCTCCTGATTGAATGCTACCGCTCTGCTTCACTGATCTTTTTTAAGAAGTAATAATAGCTGACCTTCTCTACCAGTACTAAAGGCTTAATTTGTGTCAGTCTAGAATAGACTATAAATTTTTATTCGTTTACAAGTAGTTGAAAAAACTGCAGGTAAGTATATCAAAATAATTTCATTTTTTATGTGTAGTTTATTTTTTAATTTCTTTATTCTTTATATTGGGAAAACCTGTTCAGTATCTACTGTTCACCCACAGGGCCAAGTCGAAAAAGTCAACAGTAAACAGTTCATAAGAACGTGCAACATACGAAAACCAGAAAGAATACATTAACATCCAGATCATAATTTTTTTTAAATTGTTAAAATATTATAAGATCAATACCAACATTTAAAAAATATGTTTAGAGAAATACAGCAGCAAAAATGGCTAGCTATTAAAATTATTATTATTATTATTATTATTATTATTATTATTATTATTATTATTATTATTATTATTATTATTATTATTATTATTATTATTATTATTATTATTATTACCATTATTATTACTATTATTATTAGAATTAAACGTTTTGCTGCCCCTGTAGGCAAACCTCCTCATCCCAGAGATTCGGTCCGACATTTGGGCAATGACAAATGTCCCGAAGAGCTGACCCTAGTCCGATGGCTGTGAACAGTGGCGGCGCCATCGGGAGCGGGGGTGGGGGGAGCAGAGGCTTAATCTCCCCACCGGACAGGTCAAGGCCTGTCTCTTATACACATCTAGATGTGTATAAGAGACAGATACTGTACTATACTGTTCTTTGTAGAGTGTGGATCAAATGCCTTCTAAACGTGGTCTTTCATGATGTTCTTTCTTGGGCTCCATCGGGGCTAGCGGACCCAGAGGTTCTAATCCTTAAAAACATCTCATTTAGGAGGGTAAACAACCTCTCAAACCCTTTTCCCAGCTCGGGCCTACGAGCCCAAGTCTCCCCTGTCGGACAGCTCAGTCCCCCCCCCCTACCCCAGAAAATATATCCTAGAGCCTACAGGGGTAATGATATTAACTCTGCCACTCAAACATTTTCGTACCATGGAAAATTCATGTTGATCTCTTCTATCCAGCAGTAAGACCAGCCGAGTTGCTGGTGTAGAGAAATATATTTGTTCGGATTTTAGCCCTAAGAATAGCCAGAACCAATATCACAATAGTCAAAATGAGGGAGAGTAAGACTTTTGTAAAGTAAATTAAGAATATTTTTATCAAGATGATGACGTATCCTACAGAGTAAAAAAATTCTTTGAATAATTTTGTTAATAGTCTTATCAACATGAATTGTCCATATAACTGAGGGCCAAACCAAACACTAAGATATTTCATACAGTTAACTGTCTGAATGACAGAGTTACCTATGTGAATCATAGAGCATAACAACATAGGCCTACTCCGAGTCCAAGCATTGAAATACACGCCATCGTGCTGGGATTCAACATTTCGATATTATTTATGTCACCATCAAGGAATGATGTCAGTATTGCAGGATTTCCAAAGCAACTCCACTTCCTTATCCTCCCTAATCACACATTCATTGATATCAATTTTGCGCATCGTGTGTGTTGAATCCCATATATACATATATATATATATATATACATATAATGAATAAATGTAGTTGGAAATACTAGCAACGTATAGTGCTCGATACACGTGATAATGCAGAGCGATTGCATTAGCATGAAACAGTCTGTAGAGTGATA